CACAAATTCAATGCCAGCCTCACCAAATTAGCTAGCCTGTCTTTTAAAAAGCAGGGGGAAAGGGTACTGGAGATATAGTTCAGTGATAGAGCATCTCTCTGGGTTCAATCCATTATGCAGTAGGGGGTGGGAGATTATTAAATTTCTTTAATCTGGTGATCATGAATCCAACTAAACCGACATGATGATGAATATGATCTCAGAAACTGGGGAGGCTGAGTCAGGAGGATTACAAATTCAAAACCAGCCTCAGCAATTTAGTGAGGCCCTAAACAACTGAGACCTGTTTCAAAATAAAAAATAAAAGGTGCTGGGGATGTGTCTCAGTGGTTAAGCACCCCTGGGTTCAATCTCCAGTACCAAAACAAAAATCCAAAATAAGTAAATGAGACCTGAGCTTGGGTGTTCTTCAGTGATAGGAGAAGTTGCCTAGCATGTGCATAGCCCTGGGTTCAATCCCCAGCAACAACCACCACCAAAATTTTTTTTAAAAGTATATATATATAATTTTAGAGAGAGACAGACAGACACACAGACACACACACATATACATCCTATATATAAATAGGAGCAGTACAATTTCTACTTTTTAAAGCCTAGGAGGCTGAGACGGGAGGATCCCGAGTTCAAAGCCAGCCTCAGCAACTGAGGGAGGCACTTAGCAACTCAGTGAGACACTGTCTCTAAATAAAATATAAAAAAGGTCTGGGGATGTGGATCAGTTGTTAAGTGCTCCGGGTTCAATACCTGGTACAAGGGGAAAAAAAAAAAAAAAAGGCCTATCTCATCCTTCATATACCACCTGAGTTTTTCTTCACTAAAAGAAGAAAATTCAAACTTGTTAGCAGACTGAGGTACATCTTTTCATTTCACCCCGCTCCTTCCTTTTACAAGGCCCTACCTCTATCTATCCTATCCACCCCTCTGAAAATTCAAGGCACTGGCCCAACAAGACTAATTCAAAAAGCTTGATATTCATGACTTTGCCTAGTCTGTTCATTAGACTGGAATGTCATCCAGAAACCTATCTCAAACCTCAGGTTTAAATGTTGAAGTTTCAGAAGCACCAGGACCTTGTTGGGTCTTAATTTCCTCCACAGCTTTTGCAACTACAGCACTACTGGCACACAACAGGGAATCAATAAATTAGTGCTGTGAAAATAAAAGAGGTTCCACATGAATATTTAGTCTTCTGTGCTTTCTCAATAGCTATTACCCCTTCTATAGTCTCACAACCTTTTACTCAAGTTATTATATGTCTACTTCATTTTGCCTACACAATTATAACTAGCCTCACATGCACAAGGCCCTGGGTTCAACCCCCAGCACCACAAAAAAAAAAAAATCTGTTATAGGTGTTTCAAGCATTGTCAATTCAGCAAACACAACATAACATTATTTTCATGTCCCTAGTTACATGCAAGAAAATGAAAACAGTCTAAGATAATTTACCAAAGTTACCATATGTAAGTTTTGGGTCTCTAAAAATATACCAGTTCCAAACTTTAAAAAACAGGGAAAGGACTAGGAATATGGCTCTGTGGTAGAAAATCTGCCTAGTAAGCTCAAAGCTCAAGGCTAAAGGTTTGATTCTCAGAACCACAGAATAAAAAATACTTGCCAGGCAAGGTGGCACAAGCCTTAATACCAGCAACTATGGAAGCTGCAGCAGAAGGATCACAAGTTCAGGTCAGCCTCAGCAATTTAGCAAGGCCCTACCCACCTCAGTGAGACCTTGTCTCAAAATAATAAAAAAGGCCTGGGGATGTAGTTCAGCTGCCAAGCACACTTGGGCTCAGTTCCACTACCAAAAGGGAAAAAAAAAAAAACATAACATTGCAGATCACAAAGAAGTTGCTAGTCATACAGTGAAGAGATTTTTAAAGTCTAAAGTCAATATAAATATTAAAAGCAAACAACCTTTGACAGAAATACATTAGCATACAGTTCTAGCAGAGCTGCATTAAATTATAACCTAAAGCTGAATTTATCTTTATATGGGTTTTTTGGTGGGAAGAGGATACTAGGGACTGAACCCTGGGGTGCTGTACCACCAAGAAAAAAACCCAGCCCCTTGACATTGTTTCGTTTTGATTTGTTTTGTTGTGGTGCCAGGCATCGAACCCAGAGGTGCTTAACCACTGAGCCACATCTCCAGCCTGTTTTATTTTTGACGCAGGGTCTTGACAAGTTGCAGAGGCTGGCCTTGAACTTGCAATCCTCCTGCCTCAGGCTCCTGAGCAGCTGGGATTAAAGATGTCCACAATCACACCCTTAAGCACCTTTGTTTTCAGACAGGGTTTCACTCCTTTTTGAGAAAGGGATCTGCTACACTGCCCAGGCTGGCCTCAATCTTGCAAATCCTCCTCCCTCAGCCTCCCAAGATTCAGATGTGCACCACAGTGCCCAGCAATACATGGGTCTTGAATAAATCATAAAAACTATAAAACAGTTTTATGACAGTAACTCTCACATAAATGGATGAAAGAGTAATATAAACTGAATTGGTGAGTAACATAACAAACAAGTACACTATGAATTTAATATGAAGCCAACAATGGGGAGTAAGGTTCCAGTTTCAAAATCCAGTCCACCCTATTTTCCACAAAAAGGTTCAGGGGAAAAAAAAATCCCCATTAAAAATCTGATTTAGGCCAGACTCATGCACACCTGTAATTCCAGCAGCTCAGGAGGCTGAAGCAGGAGGACAAGTTCAAAGACAGCCTCAGCAACTCAGCAAGGCCCTAAGCAACTTAGCCAGACCCTGTCTCAAAATAAAAAAATAAAACAAGGCAGGAATGTAGCTCAGTGGTTAAGCACCAATGGGTTCAATCCCTGATAACAAAAATTCTGATTTAGTTGGTCTTTTAAGTACCTTGAAGTTTCTCCTTGCCTTTCAGACCTAAACACTTATTCTGATCTTTACAACTATATGTTAACATTATAAAAAAAACATATGGTTTGAGCTGGGCACAGTGGCGCATGCCTGTAATCCCAGAAGCTAGGGAGGCTGAGACAAGAGGATTGTGAGTTCACAGCCAACCTCAGAAATGGTGAGGCACTAAGCAACTCAGTGAGACCCTGTCTCTAAATAAAATTCAAAAAAGGGCTGGGGATGTGGCCCAGTCAGTGGTCGAGTGTCCCCCCAGTTCAATCCCCGGTACTGAAAAAAAAAGAATAAAGGTGTTAGTGAAAAGCACTCTAGAGGAACCAGATTTAAGCCAAGCATAGTGGTACATGCCTGTCATCCTAGCTATTTAGGAGGCTGAAGCAGGAGGAGGATCACAAGTTCTAGACCAATCTCAGCAATTCAGGGAGACTCTGTCTCAAAATAAAAACGACTGTAGCTCAATGGTAAAGCACCACTGAATTCAATCCCTAGTACCACCAAAAAAAAAAAAGCAAGAGTTGGGTATGTAGCTCAGTGCTAGAGTGCTTACCTAGCAAGCAGGAAGGCCTGTGTTTATCCCCAGTAGCGGTGGAGGAAAAAAGGGGGGAGGGGGACTGACTTATAAATTTTTAAAGTGTTTTTAATTCTCATTTAATGAATCTGCCTAAAAATTTCATTCAGGTTCTTTTTAAAGTAGCATACAGCTCACTGCAGTGAATTCAATCTTAGTTACCTGGAATCAAATATAACTCATAACTTTATATTTACTGTACACAAGGCACTCTAGTAGACATTGTATTGGGCATATTAATCAGCCAAAATACTTTCTACTAAAAAAAAAATAAATTATCATTGTGATTCCTCAGGACACCAGGTAACAATTATCCTGTTGGTCTGTAAAAATGCTTGTTAAACCAAAAGGCAATGCTCTGATTACTGGAGAAATCCATATTGCCAGGATCAGCAAAACTACCTTAAAAAGTTAATAGCCTCCACCCTTAAAATATCCCAAGAGAAGGGAGTGATTCAAACTATTAGTTAGCATATGCCCAGCGATACTACACAATAATAACCTAAGCAAAACTGCCAGATGCATTTGTAATTAAGAAGTCCAACCTTGATAAAGCATCATCAGTGGGATTTTCATCCAACTCAGGCAAAATCCGAAAAGCATACTTAAGCATAAACTGCCAAGCAGTGAAGGATCTAAGAGAGCCAGTAAAACCCTCTCTTCCTTCAACCTGAGAAGCATCTCTTCTTTTGGAACCAGGACAGAGCAATTTAAAAGAAAGAATGAATGACCTACAGTTCCAATAGGGACTGCTAGATAATCGGTACGATACACAAATCAGACAGTAAGAAAAATGTATGAAATGCTACTATGGAAAGGAATAGAAAACCCTGGGAAATCAAGAAAGACAAGAAATTTTTAAACGGGGGATCGTCAGTTTACGTTCCAGCCTGCTTTTAAAGAAAATCGCAAACTCCCAAGAAGAGGACAACTTTGGATTTATCTCTCCCACTGATTTCTGGCATCTGCCGTCGGACAGTCGTGGAAGCGTCCAGAGGCAGGCAGCACCAATCCTATGACAGCCCTTTCTCCAAGGCCACGGCAGCGCGGCGCTGGGGAGGCCGCCGGGACTCTTCGCGGCAGGGGCAGGTGTCGGCGCCAGACTCTGGCTCGCCGACTTGGCGGAGCTGCGGCTCTGCTTCCCCTGCCCGCTGAGCGCCGAAAAGTTAAGTGAAGACAACTCCTGGGACGAAGTCGCTTCCCCACGCGGCCTGGGGGCTGTGGCCCCTCTCGCCTGCCCCAAGCCCCAGCGGCCGCGGAGGGCAACTCGGCGACGCCGGAGGACGCGGGGGTCACCAGCAGCAGGCAAGCCACGGGGTGGAAACTGTACGGGCCGCGCTTCCCAAGTTCTGGAGCAAGCCCCCAGCGAGCCTCCGAGACGCCGACCTGGCCCGTGACGACCCCGCGCCCGAACACCGCAAAGCCCTCACCCGCGGCCCGCAACCCTCCGCCTCGCCCCGACCCTTCCCTGGGACGCAGCCCGAGCACCGCGGCTAGACCAGCAGCCAGGCCGCGGCCCTGCGCCCCTTCCCGCCTCACCTGCGCTCCGCTGCTGCGCCGTACCTTCTCACCCGCTCCGCGCGCCCCGTCGGGGCACGCACGGACCCCCGGCCGGGACTCTCCCGGTCGCGGTGACTAGAGACGCCTCGGCCGCCGCCGCCTTCTCTTTCTAGGCACAAATCCCGGCAACCAGCAGAGGGTCGCAGTCAGCGCCCCCGCCGGGGCCAAGAGAACCTCGCCGCCTCCGCAGCCTCCACCACCAATTCCCTTCAGTCGTCCGCGCCGCCCCAAGAAAATGTCACCAGAGGCCGTTCCGCTCTGCGCCTCACTTCCGCCCGGAACCACAGAGCTAGCGCGGGTCGCCTAGAGCGGCCGCTGCGGCGGGAGCCTCTAAGGACTGTAATAGAAGGCCAGGGGAAAGCCCGACAGCGCCATCTGGCGGAAAAGAATCCGCGCTCCTCCCGCTGCAGAGTGTCGGCGCGTTGGCGCCGGCTTCGCGGGCGTCTTTCCCACATGATCTCGTTCTGTACAGGCAGCTCCCTTCCAGAAATGTCTTTCCGAGGGGGTAGAAAAGCCAATCAGTGCAAACCAAGGATAGCGCTTTCATTCCCGTGCACTGCCCAGTACTCACCCCCTCCCGAAGGTTTCCCGATGCTAGCGAAATCTGAATCCTTGAATCACTCCAGCAGGAAGCCGGCTCCCTTCTCTACCCACTTTTCCTCGGAAGTCATCACCTTGGCTTGGGGACACCAGGCTGTGCTCCTCTGGTGCCGTGGCCCCAACGTCCTGTTCAAGTTTCCGCACGGGAACCTTGCGAGCCTTGCAGATAGCGCGCCACCTGCTGGTACGATGGGATCCGCCAGGGAGACCCCGCTCTGCCCCAACGTTCGTTCCAAACGCCCCAAATTCCACCTCTGCAGAGTCATTCCTTGCGTTTGCAGCTTGCCCTGGGAAGAGTGACGCAACGGCGCTGTCTCTGAGTTTTCCAGGCGCGTTCCAGAGATGGGGCGGAGGAGGGAGGCGGGGGTGGGGGTGGGGGTGGGGGTGGGAGGGATTAGTTCCTGTTGGGGGACCTGGAGAAAGATGAAGCGATCACAGCCGTCTGGAGAGTAGAAGGCTTCCAAAGGAGGAAAAGGAGATGCGAAGCACAACCTCACTACTCAATATCTGGCTCCCTATAAGCAATACAAAGTTCTGAAAGGGGACAAAATAAAGGACTGTAAGAGAAAATATCAAGAGTCTTTACCTTTTTTTATCATTTATATTTTTCTGCTACATTTATTATTCCTACCTTGATATTTTTGTTTTTTGTTAGTGCATTATAATTATACATAGTAGTGGGGTTCGTTATGACATTCATACATTTCCCTTTTAAACAGCTGGATTTTGATGTGGTGGCCCATGCTTGTAATCCCAGTTACTTGGGAGGCAAAGCAAGAAGATTCCAAGTTTGAGTTCAGCCTGAGCAATTTTATGAGACCCTGTCTCAAGAGAAAAAATAAAAAGGGCTAACGATGTCGCTCAGTGATAGAGCGAGCCTGGATTTTATCCCCAGTACGGAATGTTAGTGTGTTGTGTTGGAAGAGATTTTGAAAATCCCACAACTCTCCAGCCCCTTAACAGTCTCCTCTTTAGACCTGGCCCTTCAGAATCCCCACCTCACCCCAAAAAGCTGAATTTAAATATATTTTCTAGTATGTATGTGTGTGTATGTATGTAGATAGATAGATAGATAGATAGATAGATAGATAGATAGGGTACTGGGGATTGAACTCAGGACACTCAAACACTGAGCCACATCCCCAGCCCTATTTTGTATTTTATTTTAAAGACAGGATCTCACTGAGTTGCTTAGCACCTCACTATTGCTGAAGCTGCCTTTGAACCTGTGATCCTCCTGTCTCATCCTGCTGAGCCACTGAGATTATAGGTGTGTGCCACTGCACCAGGCTTAAATATATTTTTATTAACATATGATAATTGTATTATTTATGGGGTACAGTGTGACATTTCAAAAAATAATGTGTCATGATCAGGTCAGGTAAATCATATATCCATTACTTCAGACACTTATTGTGTTGAAAACATTCAAAATCTTCACTACTAGCTATTTTGAGATCCTTCACTACCACCACCATCACCACAGTGTATTGAATCCAGGGCCCCAGCCCTCCTGTCTTTTTTATTTTACCCAGGCTGGCTCCAACTTTCCCCCTCCCCCATTTAGTACTAAGGATTAAACCCAGGGACACTTAACCACTGAGCCATATTCCCAGCCCTTTTTATTTTTTATTTTGAGACAGAGTCCCACTAAGTTGCTTAGGGCCTCCCTACATTGGTGACACTGGCTTTGAACTTGGGATCTTCCTGTCTCAGCCTCCAGAGCTTATGAGGTTACAGGTATGTAACCACCATGTCCAGCCTGCCCTCCAAATTTTGACCCTCCTGCATTAGCCTTCCCAGTTTCTGGGATTACCTGCATGCCTGCTCACGGCTTCTAGTACCTATTTTGAAATATTCAACTAATTGTTATCAATCATACTCATACTTCTCTGCTACAAAACATTAGAAGTTACATCCACCTTAGTTGGGAATGTAACTCAGAGGTACAGTGCTTGCCTATCAGTGTTTGCCCACCACCACCACCACAATAACAACAAAAAATGGATTCATTCATTTAATCCTCATAACAACCCTGTGAGTTTGAAGCTATTACTAATCCCAGTTTGCAAAGATGGAAACTGAAGCATTGAGTGACCTGCCCAAGATGACACATTGGTAATGGGATTCTAACAGACAGTCTGACTCCATAGCCCACTTTTTAAACCATAACCACGAACTGCCTTCTTGAGATTCACTGAGAATATACTATGTGCCAGACAAATATTTTATCTGTGTTATTTCATGAATTCGTTCATTCATTTTCTGCTACTTTAGTTCTCAAGGAATTTGAGAAGTTGTGGGGTACTGACAAAGGCCCAGGCTCTTTCAGGAGAAAAAGAGAAAGGAAAATAACCACTGAGCCACATCCTCAGCCCTTTTTTGTTTAGAGACAGGGTCTCTTGAACTTGCTTAGGGCCTCACTAAATTACTGAAGCTGGTTTTGAACTGGTGGTCTTCCTACCTCAGCCTCCTGAGAGACTGGGATCACAGTACAGGCATGTACCACAGGCTCATTTTTCCAGAGCAATAAGTTCCCTTAGAACCAGAACCAGAATGGAATAGTGCAAAGAGATGTCATGAAAGGGGAGCCAGGAGGTGGTCAAGAATGGCAGGAAAGGGCATCTCCCTGGACTTCTCCTGTCCTCTGGGATGGATGTTGGAGTCTCTGCTGTCTTGAGTAAAGGACTCTGGAACCCAGCTCCGATGTCCTCTTTCCAATCAGATGATCTACCTAAAACCTGGTGCATATAGAAAGTCTCTAACTTTTTTTTTTTTTTTTTTGTACTGGGGATTGAACTCAGGGACACTTTACCACAGAGCTATATCCCCAGCCATTTTTATTTTTTCATTTTGAGACAGTATTTCACTAAATTGCTTAAGGCCTCACTAAATTGCTGAGGCTGTCCTTGAACTTGCAATCCTCCTGCTCCATCCTCTGGTGTTGTTGGAATTACAGGCATATATTTGCCATGCCTGGCAAAAGTCTGTAATTTAAACAGGTAGAAATAAATGTAAAGAACAGTTATAAATTTATCAGCAAGTATGAATTCACCTCTCTTTTATCTTTGCATCTTTTTTTTTTTTTGGTAGTACTGAAAATTGAAGCCAGTGCCTGTACATACTAGGCAAGCACCCTAGCAACTGAACTACACTGCCAGTTCACTACACACCTTTTTTTTTTTGGAGACAGGGTCTCACTAAATTGCCCAAAGTGATCTCAAATAAGATCCTCCTGGCTCAAACTCCTGGGGAGCTGGGATTATAGGTGTAGACACCGTACCTAGCTTCCTCTCATTTTTTAATGAAGGGATCAGCCTTATGATATGGTACCTGACCCTGACCTTGTGATCTGTATGATATGGTACCTGACCCCTGACATCCCATCCAAACTAGCACCTGACAATCCATCACAGCACCTGTGTGTTTACCTCCTAACTTTCCCCCTCCTGTGTTCTAGGGACCTATTTTTTCTCATGCTTCTGACAACCAGAGTAGAGCCCCACAGGACAGACTCTGTTGTCCTGCTCAGGCCTTCACACCATGACCCAGGAACACTGAGTGCACTTCTGGTCAGTGGAAGAAATATGTCTGAGATTCAGAAACTTGCAAGGATGAGCCAGGCACTGTGACACACTCCTGTTGTCCCAGGGACCCAGGGGACTGAGGCAGGAGGATTGCAAGTTCTAGGCCAGTCTAGACAACTTATTTCAAAAATAAAAATGGCAAAGGCAGGGGATGTAGCTCAATGGTAGGGCACTTGCCTGGTACGTACCTCCAGTACTGCAAAAAAAAAAAAAAAAAAATGAAAGAAAGAAAAAAGAAAGGAAGAAAAGAAACTACAAGGATGCAGTGTCAGGTGGCAAGTAGATAAGAAGCTGCAGGGAATGTCTTGTCAGTTGACCCACCTGATTAAATGTGCCCCTCCTCAGCCCCTTGCTGTCTAGCAAAGGACTTGGTAGAAAGGATACACTTAGCTTGTAATGGAGAAACAAATATGCAGAGCAGCTGATGTCTTTAGGAGGGAGCAAGAGTCCCTGGGAAATCTGGAGGACAATGATCTGAGGGCCAGACTGCCCATGGCTGATCAGAGAAGCCAATGTTACAGAGTTGGGGACTTCAGAGGAACTGAGTCAGAGGGAAGAATCCCCCTTCAAACCCCAATTATTGCAATCAAGTCAGAAAGATTTCAGACATACTGCTCAAAGTAACAGGAATAAGTTTATTGAAGGGATAGCAAAAGGGAAAGGGGGCACTCTCAAGGGAGAGAACAGGTCCTCTCAGAGAGAGGAACATTATGCCTCTCTGCACTCTAGTTTGTTTTTTTGGGGGAGGGGTACTAGGGATTGAACTCAAGGGCACTTGATCACTAAGCCACATCCCTATTTTGTATTTTATTTAGATAGAGTCTCACTGAGTTGCTTAGTGCCTCCCTATTGCTGAGGCTGGCTTTGAACTTGCAATCCTCCTGCCTCAGCCTCCCAAGCTGCTAGGATTACAGGCGTGTGCCACCATGCCCAGCCCTGCACCCAGTATTATTGGGGATCCCAGAAAAGTTTCCAGAGAGTCCTGCCCATATTCACCTCTTGACTTTTGACTGACAGCAAGATGACATCAGACTTTCAAATACTCACTGCCATGACAGGGTCAGCATGAGCCAAAGTGACCTAAAGTAGGTCATGCTG